AGAGAGACAGAGACAGACAGAGGGACAGACACAGAGAGACAGAGAGAGACAGAGACAGATCTAAGAATCTAGAGATATAGAGATAAAGAGACCTAGAAATCTAGAGATCCAGATCTGGCTATTGGAGAAAACTTGCACCTTTCATTTTATAGGACACGTGACTATTGCCTTGGTTTATTATGATTTGCTGATTCAACATGCTAGTACATAGGAAAGGGTTTATCTTTCTCTGCTCAAATTTGTTTTGCCTGCTTAAAATGTCTCTGAATTTAGTACTGAACTTTGCACTAATTGTAACATTTATATACTAGCTAGTGGTCACATTCCAGAAGAAAATCAGAGCAAAATATAACATTAGCATGCCATGTTATGTCAGTGTATTATATATGCACATTTCAATCTTGTAATGTCAATAATAAGTAATACTGAGTATTAAGAGAATAATTTGGAGCTTGTTTGAAAAAGTAACTTTTTGTAAAAAAATTACTGGTTTTATTTTAATGCAATTGACAATCAGAAATATTTGAAACAATTCAATGACTTCAGATTTAAGATCTTAACATCTCATTACTTTTAAGAATACCTGTAAGATATCATTATTGAAATATCATCACAATCTCCATAATATAGCAAACATTGTTTCCCTGAACAAACTATTATAAAAGAAAAATTTGAAACTTTTATCACACATACATATAAATACATAAAACAGTTCTTATTTGAAATAATTGCAATTAGTTCTAACTGAAAAATTTTAAAGTAAGTGCAAGTTAACTAATATAGCAGAACTCCTTTGAATAGACAGTTCACAAGGCTCCTATTTCAAGATTTTAGTTAAATAGTTCTTATTTTGTATTCCAGAAATAAATCAGAGCAAAATATACCATACCGTGCTATGTTATGTCAATGTATTATTGACATAACAATGGAACTGTAATATATAGTTAGGAACTGTATATTGCACTACAAATTGGCCTGTTATTGCTCTCATAAACACAAGGTGATTGTATAATGATAAAATTTCCATTAGCAGTCTAGTGTAGCAAGGAAATAGGATCCTAAATAATGGCACAAAGAATACTTAATCACAGGCATAATCTCTTGAAAACATTGCCACTAAGGTCTCTAAAAAATGGCTATGGTGAAAACCGTTAAATATACTGAATTATTAATGATAGAGCTCAAGTATATATAATACAAATAACTACTGGCAACAGAAAGTACAGTCCAAAAGGGAAAGTTAATCTAATTGCAAGCACTGTCCCCTATTTACATGAAACAGGTTTCTATATATTATGATATAAAGTACCGTTCGGTTTTCATGAAATTTAGCAGAAATCACCACATGCCATAAAGTGTCAAAACAGATAGGTGTCTTTGTCTTTGTCTCTGTCTCTCTGTGTCTCTGTCTCTTTCTCTGTCTTTGCCTCTATCTCTGTCAATTTCTCTTTTTTTCTCTCTTTCCTCTGTCCTATAGTGGATACACTGGTACCTAGCCACCATCTCTACTTAGAGAAGTAAACTTCTCCAAACTGTGATTAATTGACTTCCTGATACTTTGCACTGTTGACCAAGTCCATAAAAGGCCCAGGCTGCTGTCTGAAGAATGTACAACCTTCATTCTCTTCCATCTATGGACTTGATGCAGTCAAAGCAAGCACTGAGTTTATCATATCAGTCACCAGTTCACCCATCTCCTGTGACACACTAAGGCCCACAGATTGAACTCCTAATATTGGCATGTATTTAAAGCCCTGGATGACAAAACTCCTCATCAACTGCATTAGTCAGTTTTTGCATTGATGGACACAGTACATGACACCCAAAACTTGATGGAAGAGATGTTTAATTTGGCTCATGTCTTATGCAAATTCATTCCATGTTCAACTAACTCCTACTTACAAACATCACGATGGAAAGACAAAGTCGACCAAGCTGCTTAGTTCAAGGAAGTACAGAAACAGAAATAGGGAGCAGTTCCAAAGACAGGGTCGGGGACCATATATAGTCCCCAAGGTCATCCCTCCATGGTCTGCCAAGAAACACTCAGAAGTGTGCTGTACTTATCCCTTCAGCAGTTCCCAAGACAATTGATGCAATCAAGAATATACCAACTGTTCTTCTCCACTGCTGGTGGGAGTGTAGACTGGTGCAACCATTACGGAAATGAGTATGGAGACTCTTTAGAAAAGTTGGTCTGGAAATCCCCTTTAAACCAGCTATTCCTCTACTGGGAATTTTCCCAGAGAATCTGAAAACATCACATCATAGGGATATATGTGTGCCTATGTTTATAGCAGCACAATTTGTGATAGCCAAATTTTGGAAACAACCAAGATGCCCACCACCTGAGGAATGGTTGAAAAGGATGTGGTATTTTTACACAATGGAGTATTATTCAGCGATTAAGAATGATAAACTGCAAGCCTTTATATTGAAGTGGATGCCACTTGAACATATACTCATAAGGGAAATAAACCAGACACACATGTGTAAATATCGT